TCTATTTTTTCGCACCTTTAAAGCCGTTGAGCTCATTTTATCTTATCTGCCGTCTACTAACTCCTAATTTTCTTGCATTTCATTAAAGTTTATTGTTGATATATTTCTTATTGCATACTTTATTTATATATACTAGCTATCCTCACATTGTCAAATTTTCGGTCGGTCTTCTAACGGCAGCGATCAGGCAACGGGCTTCGGCAAATGCTCTTGCGTAGGTCTATTTAACTTTAAATTTAACTCTTTACTTAAATGCTTACATACCTAAATTACGTATATCCTCAGTCTCTTTCTAATTGTGCTTTTTAACTGAAAGGCGGCTCAGAAATGTTTAAAAGTAAATTTTCTTATCCCTCCTATGATATGTTCGATTAGATTGATCTTAACTAATCTCGATTCTGCCACAGGAATTATGTTAGTTTGGTGATAATTATGTTATTTTAAATGAGGTATTTGACTATACTAATATAAAATTATTATATTCATAATTCTCGAAAACTACCTGCATTGAAAATAAGTAACTTAGTCGATTTCAGCGACAAATTAAGGTTTTTTTGATAGACAATCCCGCTAGAGATGTGATCGGGTCAGGCCTGGATTGTCTTGAATGTCACATTTGCTGTTGCACCAGTTGCTTAAACGTCATGTTATAACATAGCCAGAGTACTAACGACTTGGAATCAAGTCTCGTTGGGGATATTGATGCTACCTATCCAAGGTCGAAGCCTTATCCACGTTTCACGAAATAACCTTTTGCGATATAAGGCTAAATTAAATTAAATGGTAATTTGAGATTTATTCATTTCATTATGAGTAAACTCAACTAACAGTCCTTCAACCACTAAGATCTCTAGTGTGACTAGGTTCTTATTCAAGAATGACTCATAGTCATGTCATAATTATTAACTAGTATTTCTTATTTCCTTTAAACACGCATATTCAATCCACTTGTTTCTACCTTAAAATATTTCTCTAATGTTGCTTATCTATGCTCTATCCCTTTCTCTTATCCAGACTCTCAATTCGTCTAGATAGCTTTGAAGCAATCGGTTCTCGAGACGCTACACTTACAGTACAAGCGCCTAATGACCGTATTCTCAACATGCATGAAAATGCCCCTCTTCTAATCACCAGCCACATCTCTGCCTCTTCTGAACGGAAGTCTGAGTTTGACGAGATACCTTCGCAACAGCAAAAGGCCACACTCTTTCCCACTTCTTCGTATTTTAATGCTCCAAATGAATCGACTTCATTAGTTGTGCCAGATACATCCGGCCTATCGTTCATTTCCTGCTCTGCCAGTACTGTTAGTGCCTCATCTCTGCTACATATTAATTTTGAGAGAAATCCGCTGGATAAGGGCATAGAGCAGCGCATTACTGTGTCTGCTGATCCTCTACAGATTATTTACGACTCCGAGACGGTGAACAGGATCTTCCATTTCTTAGAGCCTCCCAAGGACCTTCGTCTCGACGAGTAAGGAACATCTAGACACTTTCTTATGCTAATTTCTATGCCTACATATTTGCCTTATTTTAACTTTATCTTGAACGTTATAGTAATTTTTTATAATATGAGCAATTTCACAAGCCGGAGCTGTTGGATACTTTGCTTAGGCTCGGCTACCTTAATATTGTTAGTTTAACTATAGTCGTAATCATTATTGTTTTTATAACTCTCTCTACATAAGTTATATCTTAAAGTTTCAGGCTTCTTTGTTTACTAATGAATGGTTTGCTTGTCTTAAGCCATAAGTAACATCTAAAATTAGGAAACATTTCTTCATTCTGTTTCAGGTTAGATGAAGTCCTATATTTGCTATGTTTTGGCACTTGCTTAACATGCATTATATGCGTGCTTTCTATTTCACTTATTTCATAAAATTATTTTTAATTTCAAAAAGGGTTTTAGCTATTTTTATCACTAGACGTATCTAGATGGCTTGAGGGAATGATGCTGGGATGGAAACCATGGGTTGGTTTCACCGCAAATCAAAAGAGGATTGCCTGGAGTGAAGATTGTTGGATTGTGGTGAGAAGTACTCGATTTATCGTAATGCGACCCCGATGAACCCTTGCTGAGTTTTTATCCATCCCTTCACGATTCACATCGTCAGAGCGAGGAATCATACTTTACTAGGATGCGCAGTGCGTTACTAAATACAAGTAAGGGTTGGCGGCTGCAAACCTACTCACTTATATGATACTTTTGGTTGCTTCATGCTTCACCTAAATGATTTCCTATGGTTGAAGTTAATGATCTAAAAGTGGATGTGTTCGGACCTATTTTTTTCCATGACTAAGCCAGTGTACTATCCTATAATGTTGACAATTTTTTAGATATAAGATATTGTGTTTTATTTATGAAATGTTCAAGTTATATGCGATTTGATAGCTCTAATTGGACTCGAAGCTATTAAAACTTCTTCATTTTGCTCATATATCCTTCCTGCTCACTCTCCCTTCGAGCCTATTGAATAGCCATAAATTGTTTGCACTCGTTTATCTGATTCAGGTTGTTGGCTCTTTTGCCTATTTATACAGACTTCCTAGTCTCACGCTTGGATATATTGCAAGAACTAGTAAATTTCTTCTTTCATTTTAACTTAAGAATGCATATACTCGATTTAATTCTGAAGATCAAATTACGATACGGTTTAAGGTTATTAGAAGGTATGAAGACCAAGATGGTGTGGCCTTTTGTGTGGTCGCAGTCTCCTTTCGTTGTATAGAAGT